ACCCATGTTTTAGAACATTTTTAAATGTATGTGTTTGTCATAATTAACAGTCTATATGTGTAAGAAATGTTACAAAATATATGAATGGTTCAAATGGAAATAACAGGGCAAAAATTACCCAATCAGAAAAAAGTGTGTGTGTGTGTGTGTGTGTGACTAACAAAACCTCAATTGTTTTTCATGTAGGGTGAACCTGGTGCCCCTGGTGAAAATGGAACTCCTGGTCAAACAGTAAGTAATAATTACTTTATTATAAACCTAAATGTGTACACTCCTGCAAGCTGGAACTTCTTTAATGTTTTTGCTAATTAATATTTCCTTCAGCATTATATTCTTTGATATTTTTCTAATAGCCTTCTTGCATACTTAATTGAAATCTATTACCTTTTAGTTGGAATTCAAATAAGACCTATTTACTTCTAGTGGATTCTTGCGCATGTTAGAAAATGGACAAAGTAAATGATGCCTGTGACTTTTTTAAAGTTGGCATCTGGATTTCACTGAAACAATTTCTGCTTTTAGGGAGCCCGTGGGCTGCCTGGTGAGCGAGGACGAGTTGGTGCCCCTGGCCCAGCTGTGAGTGCTTCCGTTTATTTTTTTCAGCCTTTTTGAAGATCTTCTAATAACTGCTATTTAACTTTCCACTTGACTTTTCCTCTTTATGTTCTCCATAGGGTGCCCGTGGAAGTGATGGAAGTGTGGGTCCCGTGGGTCCTGCTGTAAGTTTTGACACTGAAGAGTGTGTGATGGGAGCTATCTCTTTTATTAATTGCTTACAAAATAACACCATTTTAGATATCAATGGGGTTTTTGAAGGTTCTAATTATACATACTATCCCTGGGGCTGTTGAATGATATATTAAGTAAAATCTACTCTACCTTGGATACCCTGAATGTCTTCCCTTTGCTAAGCTACTAATGGCAACAGACCAGCTGTCAGTTTCTTCTCTGCCAATATTAAATAAGATCAAGCCCCTCTCAGCCTTTCAATATTCTGTTGTTGCTGTGTTGCTAATTTACTAGGAGGAAATTTCTTACCACGTTCTACTTTGATTTCAGGGTCCCCTTGGGTCTGCTGGCCCTCCAGGCTTCCCAGGTGCTCCTGGCCCCAAGGTAAAAACATGGTGACAACTGTCATTATATTGATAAACTTCTATAGGGATGAGAAAGATAGAGACTGCGTTTGCAGATAGATAATTTCAGAACAGGTACCTTAATGGACACAGAATGTCCAGTTTTCTCTCTCCAACTTTGAAATACATCACCTCTCTGCACTCGAGCACTATGAGCATAGATAGAGAAGGCGACATAGGCATGATCCTGTGGGGCTTCTCTGGGATATACTCCCAAACTAGTGGGGATCGACTAGCTGAGAACCAGAGTCTGTACCCTAGGGACAGAGAGAGATGAAGCTAGCAGTGGTAGCCAGGATGGTAGAATAAGGATGGTAGCCAGGAAAATAAGATCCCAAACCCAAATCTTGTGGTACTAGACTAGATAAGGGAAATGGCTGCAATTCTGAAGAAGTTTCATAAAATTGGTGTCCTCCAAATGGAGCTATGCTATTTCATTACTTGCTGGCTAATGCCCCAGTGTCTTTCCTTCTTTTAGGGTGAAATTGGACCTGTTGGTAACCCTGGGCCTTCTGGTCCTGCCGGTCCCCGTGGTGAAGTAGGTCTTCCAGGTCTCTCTGGCCCCGTTGGACCTCCTGTAAGTAGCCACTGTCATTAACCTCATTTTGTGGAAGGGGGAAGGAGTGAAGCTGGGGTCAAAGAAGAAGGCAAATATTTCTATTAACTGATATTTTTCTCCCTTCCTTTTTTTTTTCTTCCTGTCGGGAAACCCTGGAGCCAATGGCCTTGCTGGTGCTAAGGGTGCTGCCGTGAGTATATGGTTGGGTTGGAGGCAGGGAGGAGGTCAGAGGGGGCAATAGCTCAGATTTGCGGCTGTGATTTTAATGCCCTAAATGAGTGCTACCTCTCCTGTCCGTGGCTTCATGATTGACCACACCGCATTTTCCTTTTCAGGGCCTGCCTGGTGTTGCTGGGGCCCCTGGCCTCCCTGGACCCCGAGGTATTCCTGGCCCTCCTGGTGCTGCTGGTGCCGCTGGTCCCAGAGGACTCGTTGTGAGTGTCAGGGCTGTAGCTTTCATCATCCTGAAATCCCACCTGTACCACGCTTTCATTACCATCTAGACTTCCTCTGGTAGTTTCATGATTCTCACTTTTTTCTTCCTTAGCATTTTTAACTGCTATTTCTTCTATAAGTGCATGTGCATGTACGTACAGTCTCTCCCTCCTGCTATCCTAGACTGTCACCCAAAGGTCAGCGAGGCATATTTCAACACTATCAGTCTTGTCCTTTCCACTAAGACTATTCCCCTGTGAGACATTTCAATGTGAACTGGGCACATTTCTTAGAGAACTTGAGTTTCTCTTTACCTTGATCTATAAACATTCCAAGGTGTTCGTCTGCAAGAAAGTTGTGACAAATGTTTGTCATTTGACCACTGTTTTGTATTCAACCCTAGGGTGAGCCTGGTCCAGCTGGTTCCAAGGGAGAGACTGGTAACAAGGGTGAGCCCGTAAGTAGTTCTATTATCATAATTTTATGAAGTTATTACTTTTTTAATCCCAAAAGTAATACTTTAACTTTTTTAAAAGTTATTACTTTTTCTCTACCCGATTATGACATCAAAATGATTTTTCCTATTCCCTCCTTTTTTTTTATTTTTTTTTTTATTAAACAGGGCTCTGCTGGAGCTCAAGGTCCTCCTGGTCCCAGTGGGGAAGAAGGAAAGAGAGGCACCGCTGGTGAAGCTGGCCCCGCTGGCCCCCCAGGACCTGCTGGGCTGAGAGTAGGTTCCAAATGCTCTTGACCAGACACACGAGAGGCAGATGATAACACCCTTTCCCTGGGAATTGGTCAGAATTATTGAGTGCATTTTCTAGACGGAGGAAGCATCTGCTTTCCATCTGCTTTATTAAATCAGTAACTCGTTTCGGCATGTCATAAAATAGATCTGGAAAATAGATCTGATGACCCACTTTTGCAAAATGCTTCCTCCAGACATTCCTTTGGTGTTGGGTAAAAATTTTCGACATGGTTTGTGTTCGTATCTCCCGCTTAAGGGAATCGAGATTTCTTACATCTTGCCATGTTTCAATAAACTCTGCCCCGCTTGGCTCAAGGATCGTCTTCAATGCTCTTCTGTTTCATGTACTTTCTTACAGGGAAATCCTGGCTCACGTGGTCTTCCTGGAGCTGATGGCAGAGCTGGTGTCATGGTAGGTTGTCTATTACTCATTTCCTGGGAAAGAGCTTGAGGCTTCTGGTGGTTGGTGTGTCATTCACTTGAGCCCTGCTCCTCCCCTTCTCTTTAACAGGGCCCTGCTGGTCCACGTGGTGCAACTGGTCCTGCTGGTGCTCGAGGTCCCAATGGAGATGCTGGTCGCCCTGGAGAGCCTGGTCTCATGGGACCCCGAGTAAGTTTCGATTGATTCTGAGCAAGTAACACATGTCACTGCTTCCTTTTTTGAAGATATGAATATTATTTGAAGGCGACAATAAAAGAAATGAAAAGTACTAGCAAATGTGTTAGCAGGCTTGATGATGGTTGCCTTTTTAAATTTAACTTCATCAAAGCCTAGTAGAGACTTTTTACCCATTTGGTTAGTTCATAAATTTCCTATTTATGACTTGATTCAATAGCTATGAGGTTTGGGGAAGAATGGATTTATTTTCATATACTCAAATTAGGTTAGTTCTATCAGCATGAATCTTTTATCTCAATAGGTGAGTTTTATATAAGGTATTTGTGAAACGTATTAGGGCTATACATTATCAGTTTATTAGATTCATGGTGAAATCATTTTTCCAGCAATCACAAAGTGCTGTAATGTATTCAGCATCACACTTGCTATGGAGAAATGACCTTGAGATCCATAGACACCCTATTCCATAGCAATAGAGTAATTTTTTTTGCCTCTGTTATCTCTTATGGTTGAATATCAACTGTAACCATACCATAAACAATTGATAAAGACATCAAACATAGCAATAAAAAATCCACTCTGGAAAATTGCTTGCTAAAAGTATTTGTTTTCCTATGATGAGTAAACATGATGTATTTTGCCCATATAGTATGTTGCTCAACAGTTTCTTGAGATATCTATAAACAGATCGGTTGTAAAAGGAAAGGCACAAAATAAATAGAAAATAAAAGATTTCAGGGTTCTTTTCATATTTCCCAGCTAGTGGCTAATACTCCTAACTTACCCCAGGCAATGAACAAAAAAAAGTAGGGGAAAGTGCTTTTGTTAGATTTCAATTAATTGGTGCCTCATGAAATACTAATTGTAGTATGTGCACGAAAGTGCCCATATGAAAGCATCCTCACTTGCTTTATAGGGTTTTCCCGGTTCCCCTGGAAATGTTGGCCCAGCTGGTAAAGAAGGTCCTGTGGTAAGTATTGTTCCTTTTCCATTATATTTTCAAGAACACTTATTGCACCCTTATCAAGTCTATTTTGTGGCTTATTTATACATGAATACGTTGGAAATAAGTATCAGCCATGTACATCATCTGGGAATGCAAATTAATGGGTTGTAATTACGGAGTCCAAACGAATACAGGACTGAAAGGAGAGAAGGAAAAAGAAAAAACACGACAGGGAAAATTGGAGAGGGCGACAAGGGTATGAAAAGAGAGGCAAAGAGGGAATTGTGTACCGATGAAACTGACTCGCTATGTGTGTAACAACACCCTACGTAGAAAAGGGAAATGGATTCATCATTGACCATGAAGATGCTGCATCACAAGCCTGGGGTCGTGAGACCCTGTTGATGCTGGTAAAGTTTCAATCAACTCTGGTTTCAGGGTCTCCCTGGGATGGACGGCAGGCCTGGACCCATTGGCCCAGCTGGAGCAAGAGGAGAGCCTGGCAACATCGGTTTCCCTGGGCCCAAGGGTCCCACTGTAAGAATCACCACAACCTCCTCTCCCTTGGCACTTTTATTTTTTGGCCACATTTCACCAAAACTCTGGTATTTCTCGCTTGCCTCAGTTTACTCTATTTCGAAGGGGTTCCTCTCAACATGGGAAAATTGCAAGCCGCTTACCATATTAAAAGTCAGAGTCCAGTGTATCACTCACTGTACACCTGCTGAAAATCCATCTCCTGCGTCATGCTTCTGCAGACCCAGGTGTCCCTTGTTGTATAGGGAGCTGCAGGGCGATGGATCATTCCTCGGACAACAGAATTCAAGGACGAGGAATCTAAAACACAAAAGCAAGAAATGAACATTTCAAAATTGTTATGGTTACCTTGCCATTTAATGTGTAACATTTTTTTAATGTTTATTATAGGGTGATGCTGGCAAACCTGGAGAAAAAGGTCATGCTGGTCTTGCGGGTGTCCGGGTAGGTGCTAACTTCTGTGTAGATCTATCCACACGGCATTCATCTAGGACACCCTTCCTGTGAGGCCGCCTGACATCATTCCATCATGTTCTTTCCACGATGACATCCCCTGGGGTTCTTTTACCATTTAAAATGTTGTTGTTTCTTAAACCACACTTATAAGGAAGTGAGCTGTAACAAAACAGAATATATGTCAAGTCAGAATTATTTATGGATGCATTCGGATTTTATTTAATTCATTCTCTGACCTTCATTAATTGCCCTCTATCGATGGACTTCCAGTGAACCATATCAAAAGTTGGTAGATGGTATTTGGGCCTTAGCAGGAAACCCAGAATGAGTTTAATTCATACTAAAATGACAAGTTTTGTTTTGAGCAAGTAATGCCTGAGGCTTTGAGGCATCTTAAACTGCCTGACTCTTGGTGACCCTGAGTTTTTCTATTAAACATTTTAGGGTGCCCCAGGTCCTGATGGAAACAATGGTGCTCAGGGGCCTCCTGGACCACAGGTGAGTATTTCTCCCACTCGTATTCTTTTCTGCCCTAAAATAAATACAGTCCTGCAAAATGGCCATCTCCTTTTTTTCAGTCCAAAAGTGATGTCACTAGATAGTAATGGTGCCATCCACCATTATTTATGCTGTCTTTCCTATCACTCTCAGGGTGTCCAAGGTGGAAAAGGTGAACAGGGTCCCGCTGGTCCTCCAGGCTTCCAGGTAAGTCATGTAAAACATACAGAATAGTGCTTTTGGTGAGACCATCCATCTGCAAATCGCCATACCACTCTCCACCACCATGGAGCACGGGCTGTCAGAACTGAAGCACAGAAGGTGCATTTTTTCAAGGCAAACTTTTGTGGAATGCTTCACTAACACACAATAGTTAGTGATCACGGTGATATTAGAGAGTTCCCCCAAAACCCAATTATTAGCAAACTGCCTGAGTAGAGCCAAAAGATTGAGATTGGTGTTTCTTTCATCTAGGGACTGCCTGGCCCTGCAGGTACAGCTGGTGAAGCTGGCAAACCAGGAGAAAGGGTGAGTAAAACCAGTTTATAGTAAATTCACCTAAACTTGGGACTTTCCCTGTTTAATACTCTACAGCAGTGTAATTATAACATGCAAAAGGAAACTTCATATTTAATATGTGAATCATAGTGTTCTATATATGTTGGTACTGATGGAGAGAATGAGCCACGTTACCCAATTTTGTTTAAATTACTTTGTTTTGAGGATTGAATGAAACATCACATCATGGAAATAAAATAAATCAATGAGCTTTCCACTTAGCCTTATTTTTGGCATTGCTCTTGGTAATGTTAAAACATAAATCATGTCCTTCTTCATAGGGAAAAAAGTTAATGCACTGATTTTTCATCAAACTAGCCCATGAAAAATTGGTTTTAATGTTTTTCTTGGCTTTCATACATGATACTGTAGTCCACAATCAGAACACGAGTTCTGAGTCCTTTTCCCTGTAATTGTGATGAATGTTTCTCAATTCAGTTACATTATGTGGCCTGGTCTCCTCTGTCAACAGTCAGGCATATTGAGGAGACAGCTGGTCAGTAATAAAGGAGATATACTTGGGTATACATTTTAACTAGATAATGTGCATAATATGATCATTTCTATTAAAAAAGCAGTCTGTTAATATAACTAAAAATAAGTAAGGTCCAATAGTGTTCATCATTATTTATCATATTATCAAAGGACATAGTCTGTGGTCACTTTTCAAAAAAATAATACACTAAATAATAGGAAACTTAAATTTCCTGATACCAGGTTCTAGGATAGATAAAGCTTGGATCAAAAGGGTTCTCACTTTTTGTATCTTTCCATACACCATTAAAAATTCTCTTGTTCCTAATATCCCATATAGGCAAGGTCTATCTGACTTTATTTAACTCTTTTAAAACATTTCTAATATCAATTCATACGTAGATTTTAAGAACCTACAGAAATGTCATGCTTCATTTATTTCGTGTTTTGCCTAGGGTCTCCCTGGTGAATTTGGTCTCCCTGGTCCTGCTGGTCCAAGAGTAAGTATTACTTAACTAACTTTCATAAACTTCTGTGCATGTATTTTTAAAACAAGGACTGTTTCTCCTAAAAACTCTTTGTTTTTTAAATAGATTTTAATTGATTTCAGAGAGGAAGGGAGATGGAGAGAGCGATAGAAACATCAATGATGAGAGAGAATCATTGATTGGCTGCCTCCTGCACACCCCCTATAGAGGATCGAGCCTGCAACGAAGGCATGTACCCTGACTGAGAATCGAACCATGACCTCCTGGTTCATAGGTTGACCCTTAACCACTGAGCCATGCTGGCCAGGATCTCCTGAAAACTCTTGATGACCTTGCAACAAGTTCCTGATATTCTTCTGTAGTCAAACATAATCTGTAGAGAGCATTTGAATTTTTAATTGATAGTAGACTTTTTTACTTATTTGCTCATATTTATTATTCAAAAACCTTATGGTTATAAGAAACATAAATGACTAATATTTTTATTATATCCATGATTTAAATAGACAAGCATGATATATTTATGACAGTGGCTCAAACTTAGTCAAGAAAAATTAATATCTTACTAAGTTTTAAGGTTAATTTTTGCAAGGTATGGTGATGTTTAAAGTCTAAAGCTAAAATTGTGAGTCTACTCGTACAAAAAATAAATGAATATATATATTTAGTTTGTCTGTAGTCATTAGAATAGCTGGAGTGATTAGCTTACCCCTAACGTGTCCTACTCTGTGGCTAGTTAACATATATCTAGGATGCCCAAGCAAATTTAGTATCATAAAACTGCAGTATCATAGGACCAAGTTAGAACAAGGGACTTTGAAACAGTAGCAATGTGGACTTACTTGTTAAATATTCTGGGCCATAGAATGTTATGGCATAATGATATTTACATGCAAATTGGGAGATATCTTAATAGATAGATACAAAAATACATATAACATATACATATGTATGTCTCCTCTGGTAAATATTGTCACTGTTGCATAATTATTGCATGCAATTATAAAATGGGAACATAGATATGTTAATATCTAATCTTATTATCACCTGGCATTGCTGTCCACCTAAAATGACACAATATTTCCCTTTCAATATTATACATAACTGGCATCTCCTTTTACCTATGGATCTATCACCAAAAAAAGGAAATAAACAGAAAAAGGGAAATTAATTCCAAATCTGAATATTATAATCTAGGAGAATTAATTTTGGAGTTGTAGCCATAGAATATTAGAGCTGAATGAGATTTTAGAGATCATCTCATCCCATCCCTTCATTTACTGGTAGAGAAATTAAGAAGAAATAATTATAATTTTCTAATCAGTAGCAGAACCAGGATTCTGAAAGCTTAACAAATATGAACTCTGATGTGTAAAACAGTATCTCTGTAATCATGAACCCTGCAACACTTCTTCCTATCCCTCTTTTTACAGGGGGAACGTGGTCCCCCGGGTGAAAGTGGTGCTGTTGGTCCTTCTGGTCCTACTGGAAGCCGAGGTCCTTCTGGACCCCCAGGGCCTGATGGGAACAAGGTAAAATTTCATGTTATATATTGCTGATTTGGCCCACTATCCTCTAGAATATGTAGATCCTTTACAATAGTGAATTCGTTGTTTTTCAGATTATTTACTTATTTCCAGTTCTATAATGATGGTCATCGAAGTAAATAATAATCCAATTCCAGTGAACCTGATTTATTTCCAAAAACGGGAAATCCCAGTCTTCTACACACATAAAAAATTTAGTATGGGTTTTCACTATTGTCTCATCAGACTATTTATAAGGTCTCTTTCTGTTCCTGTCTGGACTGAGAATCTGTTTTAATCTCCAGATACATTTAGATACAATATTTAGGGAACAAGCTTTTACCTTCTCAGTATCCTCTTTCATAGAGTAAAATTTCACAAAGTAGTCTAAATTTTAATAAGAGACTTTTTCATGATAAAAAAATTAAATGAGCAGTACCTTCACCCCAAACACATAAGCCTGAAAATCTTGTTTCAAAATGGAATCTGGGGCTTCGATTTTAAAATAAGTGAAATTATACATTTCTGAAAAACAGATCACTTTAATCAGAATAAAGAGAAAACAGCTGATACTACTTTTGATTCTTTAAGGGAAAAAATGTAAAGACTGGCTGCAGAAAGCTATTCTAGTATGTAGAAGAATATTGGGGGGAGTGACAAAAACAAGGTAAGAGAAAACGTGGAAATCAGAAAGTAAATAAGGTTCGCCTCAGAGGCTAGTAGACAGGCTTTAAGGATGTGGGACTGTGAAGCCTGATATAGAAATGGGAGCTATAATCCCCGCTCTTAAGGAGATTAAAATGTAAACATTTCCTCGATCGGTAAGGTCTCTTTCTGCTCCTGTCTGAGCTAAGACTCTTATTCTCGAGAAATGTTGGTTGACAAGTACTTTCCACTCTCTGTCTCCTATTCTCCAATCCTATCCTTTCCTTTCCCTGCCTGCCTCCCTTAGGAGGATTGGGGGCAGGTTATAGAAAAGTCACAGCACCAATTCCCACTCCCAGCTTCTCCCCAGTCACTGTCATAATAGCATCTTCCTCCACTACATTCTCCTTCCTTTCATAGCCCTCCTTTGTGTCTCTAAGTAGGCAATGATGCTATCTATTTAATGTTTCAATTGGAATCCTTCAAGAGTTTGAGTTTTCTTTTTTTTTTTTTCTTTTGTCACTGAAATAATTGATTTCACGTATGTTTGATTCAAGGGTGAACCTGGATCCGTTGGTGCTCCGGGCAGTGCTGGTGCCTCTGGTCCTGGCGGACTCCCCGGAGAGAGGGGTGCTGCTGGCATCCCTGGAGGCAAGGGAGACAAGGTACCCTTTTAGTGTTGGACTTGAATACATATTGTTGATGAACTTTAGCGAGAAGGCTGCACAAGGTTGCCCAGTTTTTTACAATTCTTGGCAGGTGGTCTAGTAGCATTTTGATATCTACGCATGTATGTTTCCCCCTGCCACCTAGCACCTACGCATTTCTAAACTTACTAATCTGGCAAAATTCCTTGCTACCATGGAATTTCACACAAACAGATGGTGTTGAGTAATACATGAGGCTCATTTTAATGCCACTAACAATAATGCCTCATCCTGCCCTAATTAATGGCAAAAAGCTATATTGAACAGCTGTCAACCGTGCTGCTGCATTAGTTATGCCATAGGAGGGATTGGGCACTGCAGCCCGCTGTGACGTTACCTTATAATTCTGTCCACATGAATTATGCTTGATTATGCTTCAGGAGGGTCATGGAAATTAGAAAAGAATATTTAACGATCATCTGAAAAGGTCCTTGATTATTTTCCTATTTTTTTTTTAATTCCTCCTTTCACACATGTAGAATGGTAGGGAATCAAGGCATTACTAAGATTTTCAGTGACTGAGATATTGTAGTATGTTCTGTAAGAACCCTTCAGAGTAATTTTGATTAAAAACTTTGGTCGGAAGACAAAACATGGCTCCTGCTTTATATTTCAGGGTGAACCTGGCCTCAGAGGTGAAGTGGGTACCACAGGCAGAGATGGTGCTCGTGTGAGTAAAATTTTGTTTGTTGTTTGTGCTTAGATTATGTTTTTGTACCCCCACTCAATCTGAGTTGAGAAGCTTTCCAAAACAGAACTGACAAATAAGGATTTGAGTTTAGTCAAAGAGCCTCCTATCCCTTCCTGGGTCTACGACTAATGATACCATTTTACATGTTCCAAAAGCAAAAGTCAAGAGGACTTACCACTTTGAAAATCGCAGCCTGAATTTTCTACCTTCCTCATTGTTCACTGAACAAAAGTAAAAAGTACAAACCAAGAACTCTGGGGTCACTGGAACTTTAAAGGATTGCTGAAGTCATTAGAGGGCTTTAGAAAAAAAACACCAACTCCTACATTTCAAGAAGCCAGAACCTCCTAACCAGATCCTGTTAATGCCATGGAGATGCCAAAGATAATCTCATAATAACCATACCACAGCTCGTAAAAGCCATAAGCTCCCTTGGTTTCTTCTTCTCATCTCTCTCTTGGAGCTGATATCTCACTATGGCACATGCATAGTTGTCCTTTCTCTGAATCACAAAGTCCCAACAGTTCCAAACAAGGCCACACATTTGCTGCTCTCAAGGGAATTTGACAAAAGCAGAGAGTTCAGATCTCCCCAATTCCTAACCTGCCCTTGCCTTACACATTTCCATAACCTTTACCACGGGAGCACTCTCTTCCTGAGAGTGGCTTCTGGTAGTATTCATAATTACAACTGAAGCGCATCAAAGGTTTTTTTGATGTCCGCCTAGAATATGCAGTGAAAGTGGCCTGTCCCTGGATAAGCACAGCAGGGGGGAACAGCAGGGGTCACTGTTGATGGTACGGGAGGTTATTATAAGATCTGTTTCCTTTTTGGTCCTAGGGTGCTCCTGGTGCCATGGGTGCCCCTGGTCCTTCTGGAGCCTCTGGTGACCGGGTAAGCATGCATTTTCTCTGAGTTGCAACTCTCCAAGCCAATAGCAGTAGCTAACATTTCCTGCCTGCCTTAGCTCCCAAAAGTCACAGTAATTCATTTTTATGGCTTGGTTTTAAACCCACTTATTTAAAAACCTATGTTTTATGATGGGGCAGCAGGAAACACTGTGTGTTTAAAGCTCTCTTCCCCTTTCTACATATATGCCAGCTATGTGATCTACACTTTACTCCTTGTCATTTGTTTTAAAGTCCTACTCTGTTGCTCATTAAAAACATCCTAATGCACTGAGCCTTCTCAAAGCCTGTAATTGTAAAAAAAAAAAAAAAAGAAAAAGAAAGAAAAGAAAAGAAATCAATAAAATACATAGTGTGCTCATTTCCCATTGAACACTTAAAATAGGCCTTATTTATTGTACTGCACAGATTGCAGCAAATAGATCAGCCCTGTGTTCATCTAAAAAATAGAATGTCCTCTTCCTGGTATTGTAAGCACTGATTTATAGAGTTTTTGCAAGTGTATGACCAATACCACTTCAGCCCCAAAATTGAATACAAACATTAAGCAGAGTCAGAACCACTTCATTTCACTCTGTAGATGTGCATTAGTTATCTCTCCCAATGCATCAGCAAACTCTGACAGGGGACAACTGTCAAGCATGGTTACCTCTCCTTCCAACTCTGTGAGCATTTGTGTTTGGCACATTAACAAGCTCATCTTTGGCCCCATCGTAGGGTGAAGCTGGTGCTGCTGGTCCTGCTGGTCCCGCTGGTCCTCGTGGTAGCCCTGTAAGTAGAAACCTGGGTCATTGCGGACACTCATAACTTTTAGACACTGATGAACCTAAGATGCTAAGACATAAAAATGCCTTCTCTCACCTAGGGTGAACGTGGTGAAGTTGGTCCCGCTGGTCCCAACGGATTTGCTGGCCCTGCCGTGAGTATCATGTAATAAAGGTTAATCTGAAAACATCCCAAGTTGGTAAGTGAGTGAGTTTGGAATACCTGAACCATAAAACTGTTCCTTTCCAACAGGGTGCTGCTGGTCAACCTGGTGCTAAAGGAGAGAGAGGAACCAAAGGGCCCAAGGGTGAAAATGGTGTTGTGGGTCCCGCAGGCCCTGTAGGAGCTGCTGGACCATCTGTAAGTTGAATTCACTGGTGCTCAACAGCTACCTATGAAATATTAGAATTGAACATACATCAATTAAATTCCTACTACACACAGCAGAGAATATGCCAGATAGATTATTTTTAAAATAAGAATTAACATTTGCATCCTGTTTTATATTTGTAAAAGTCTCATTTATATTACCTTATTTTTTGATAATCCCATAGGTGGTAATATTGAAGTAAAAACACTTATTTTATTTTATATGACACAGATAGTTAGTTTTAATTTCTATATTTGCTTCTAAGAGACATGAGAATGATTCCTTTGAATAAAAGAATAACAATTGTAAGAATTGTTTTGTGATTTGATCCCATCTTCTTTTGTTTCCATTTAGGGTCCCAATGGCCCCCCAGGTCCTGCTGGAACTCGTGGTGATGGTGGCCCCCCTGTGAGTATTTAAAATGGACTCATGGCTTTTCTTTCTTTAAAATTTAAGAGGGACATATTTACAAAATAGATTACTATGCAGCTGCAAAAAAGAAGGAACTCTTACACTTTGAGACTGCATGCAGGGACAGGGAAAGTATTATGCTAAGCGAAATAAGCCAGTCAGAGAAAGACAAGTATCACATGATCTCCCTTATATGTGGAATCTAATGAACAAACTAAACTGATCAACAAAAGAGATCCAAAGACATGGAAGCATGGAACAGACTGACAAATCTTAGAGGAAAAGGGAAGAGAGTAACCAAAGAACTTATATGCATAACCTATGGACACAGACAATAGTGTGGTAGATGTGGGTGGTGGTGGCAGGTGCAGGGTAGAGGGAGTCAGTGGGGGGAAAAAAAGGAGGGTATCTGTAATACTTTCAACAATAATTTTCTTAAAAAATTAAATAGGTACAACTTGAAAGTTTGGATATTTGGGGTAAATTTGTACTACTATAAGGAGACACTTGAGATTCAAGTTAACTCTGATCAAAGAAATTCTCATATTGAAGTGAAGGTCAGCTTCATAGGATATTAACATAATCCCAGGTATGACTCAGTGTCATGTATGTTGCTACCACCTCACTTGAGGTAATAACCCAAATTAAAATTCCTGGTGGTTTAATTGTGGAATGGGTAAACCATTTCTTTGATACCCTTTATCTTCTTGTTGATGCTTCACTTCTTCTGCCTGACCAAGTCCTTTCCTTTGACATCCAGTGTTATCACTCCAACTCCCTAGAGACCCTGAGCTCCCTAAGGCTCCTTCCTTCTTTCACTGGACAACAATTAAAACTTAGTCTTTTGTCGTATCTTCCTCTGTAAACAAAATTACTTATTCATTGTCCATTCCCTTAGCACCCAGCCAGGTAGTTAAGATAGTTATTAAGGTATGCACAACAAGGTGTAATAATGGCATAGTGTCTTTACCTTCTTGGTCTTACAACCTCCAGTAATACATTAACATTTAGAAAAGGACCATCAGAGCTTCAATGCAAAATATGGGTGTCACAAGTGGAGGAATGCTGGTGAGGAAGATGGTAGATGGAGTGTCTTGGAGTCCTGATTTAATATTACTCTATATGAGGCTGCCACTACCTACTCCTTGGTCCATCCCTTTGTCACAGAGTATTGAGGATTTGTCAGAATTTTCCATTTTACCTGAATCTCTGAAGTTGGTGCTGACTGTAGAATTTTAATATGGAATTTTAATGTGCTTGGTTCTAGGGCATGACTGGTTTCCCTGGTGCTGCTGGACGTACTGGTCCTCCTGGACCCAGTGTAAGTAAATCACTACAAAATATATCTTCATACACTCTAGCCGAAAGGCCTGGCCTCTGGTGGGAAACTGGTAAGAAACTGTGTAAAAATATGCTACTACATAGCTATCACTTTCTTAGTCTAAAATCAGTTTTTCTGAACCATTAAGTCAAATTCATCACAAATTATATCTTATAATATCAATTTAAGAGGATTTTATTCATGTGAACACAAGTTCCCTTTTAGGGGCATAGTCTTTTTGTTAAAAATAAAAAACAGAACAGTTTTAGTCACATATCAGATATTTCTATATCTAATTACCCTTTATAGCCAACATTCTGTCCCATTGTTAAGGTATAATTGTTCCTGAATTTAAAGTTGGTTCGGCCTCTAATTTAATTCTGAATCAGACTCTTCTGTCAGGACTCAAGAGAATTTAATTAATTACCAAGGATTAAGTCTTCCGGTTAAGGTTTCGGGGGTGGGGGTGGGGGGGGAGAATAGCAAAGATGTTGATTTCTTGGAATCCTTTTACAGGTTCATAACAGAAAAATCTTCATTCCCTGTAGGCATTTAATTAAAGCTAGTTGAGAGCATATGTGATTCCTCATTTATGACCAAAATGCCAGTATTGGCTTTCTTCAAAAAAATAAATGACTAGAGTTCTCCAAAACTCACTCGTTTACAACCAACTTGATAACTTTGCTTAGTTCCAATATGCCAGGTTACTAGTACTACAGCATTGCTTCCCCTCACAGACATTTTCCTTAGCTTCTACCTCCGTTCACTTTATTACAGTCTCCAGAGAAGGAAGATGGGAGTTGCTTCTTTCTATAAGAAAGAATGTTTAAAAATCTAAACATTTCTCCCAAATGGCCAGGATACTATTTTGTTGTTTCCCCTGCATCTTAATATCAAAAATCCCAGCTGCTCTCTTCCAGGCCCATGATGATTAACAGAAAGTAAATGACCTTGTACATTTGCCCACAGGGTATCACTGGCCCTCCTGGTCCCCCTGGTGCTTCTGGTAAAGAAGGAATCCGTGGGCCTCGTGGTGACCAAGGTCCAGTTGGCCGAACGGGAGAAACAGGTGCAACTGGGCCTCCTGGCTTTGTTGGTGAAAAGGGTCCTTCTGGAGAGCCTGGTGCTGCTGTGAGTGATTTTAAACTCCTCTTTCCTAATACCTTACATTGAATCAAAATAAAACCCTTACACAAATCTTCAAATGGTTGTATTTGTGGATGAGCATTGCAGGCCCTTGAGTAGAGCTCAGTTAAGCCAGGAAATCTGCCTAACAGATATCGAGGGTCATCGCTTCAGTGGATGCTCAGAAGGCACTAGATGGGAATAACGATAAAAGAGAAAACTCAAGGTTTTACCAAAACAGCCCGTTAAGTTCTTGAGGGCACCTTAAGATACTGGGATTGGAACGGAATCCCAGCGCAGGGGTCATCCTACCATCTATTAGTTGACCTCAGTAAGCTACCAGTTCCTTAAACGTGCATTGTCCAATATTATTCCTACTCTGAAATGTGCTTTTGTTAAGACCTGGTTCAGTTAGCGGCCAAGGTCAAAATTTGCTTGCTGGCATAGATTCTATAAAAACTCTACTCCATAACCCAGAGGGCTAAATTCATTAATTTCAACCACATATTTTTAATGTTGTTCCACTGGTTTCAAGAAGGGAACAAAAATATGCATGCCAAGATGGAAACTCATTGTCCTCACTAAAGAAAAGACATCTAAGGATATGTCCTGCTAACCAGACTGTTTCTAAACTGAGGATAGCTCATTCTCATAACCCTGAAGCCAACCTGTTATCAGCTATGGTCTTTACAGTAACACTCAGTCTTCTTCATCTTGTTCAGGGACCTCCTGGCACCCCAGGTCCGCAGGGTCTTCTTGGTGCTCCTGGTATTCTGGGTCTCCCAGGCTCTAGAGGTGAACGTGGTCTACCAGGTGTTTCCGGATCTGTGGTGAGTGTTTGACACGATTCTTATTCTCATTAACATAATAAAAGATTTTAAAAGCTGCCACTTCAAATGTGACAGATTGATCACTGAATAACTCCACTTAAGATATTTTATTCATGGCATTTCCTTTATTCAGATCACATGTCACTTCTCCAAGAAGCTTTAATACCACCTTACTTAGACACATGCAATAAAGACACAGCTTAACATTATGCAGAATGATTTTTGTTCTTTTTACATGCTTAAGAATGACATAAGCTCTAATTGCATTTACTCCTCTGCAATATGAAATGCTAGCATCATTTATCCTGTGGGAAGAATGAAACTCTGAAAGTTCTGAATCATCCCATTAAACCTTAGACGTGACAGCAACTAGGAACCATCTCATCTCCATAAACTCTCTCAACTTTATGAATTCATTTCATTTGGGCTAGCAGATGAAACTAGGCTCACCAAATACAGAGGACATTCCAAAACTACATAGAGCCGGGCATCTTAAGTGTGTAGGAGAACGGTGAGGGTGACAGTTCTTACCATTTTATAGCCTATTCATTTTCATTCTTTCTTCAAGCTGAAAACTCCTGGCTAGGGTAGTTCTGGGAAGGTAGGATTGGCACTCTGTTCAATGAGAGAAATACTATTTTGTCTTCTCTGCCTTTTTAGGGTGAGCCTGGTCCTCTTGGCATTGCCGGTCCACCTGGGGCCCGTGGTCCCCCTGGTGCTGTGGGTAGTCCTGGAGTTAACGGTGCTCCTGGTGAAGCCGGCCGTGATGTGAGTCCAACACTTGGTTTGTAAAATAAAACCTGGCAATATTTCATTGTGTGCAGCTTTATATCCTGCCCTGAGGTCCACTTGTTCCAGGTTTCTAAACATGGTGTCAGTAATATCTACATATACTGACCACTCTTAGTATTGAAAATAAAAAAAAAATTACTTGGGATGCAGGGTAGGTCTTTAAATAGTATACAATACTTCAAAGCTGGCCAAAATATTAAGAAAACACTTCTAAAAAAATCTAGGTTGGCACGGTGTTGTTCCTATTTTTAACAGTCTGAAAGGGTTTTCACTATTGAGTTCTGGGAGTGATGAAGGCAGAATAGCTGAACTAAAGGGGCTGGT